AGCAATTTCTGAGTGGAATTGTTCTTACAACAATTTTTTTAGTCAATGTGTATATTAGTATTTAAGTCTGCTTGTGGAAAAGTTATTTGTGATGAACTTTGATTCATCATGCGACTTTCTCTTTATGACCTTAGTTTTTAAGGTGCTTGTCAGTATATTACAAAGTAGGGGTGTGCGATATGATGATTTTTGATCGTGGACGATAAAAATGTCTCCAATTATTTTTTATTTTATATTTTGTTACCTTGAAAGGCTTTGTTTTTTTTGTTTTTTTTTTAAAGGGAAATTAGTTTGACTGTACTGCTCAGACAACTTGCAAAATAGTAAAGTCAACATGACAAAGAATCGTGATAAAATCGTGAATCGTAATATTTCTGAAAAAAAATCATGATTTGATATTTTTGCCATATCGCCCACCCCTATTACAAAAAAGCAGACTTAGTAATTTGGTATATTAATGTTTTTATTACTGTAAATTTGAGGTAAATCTGTAAAACTAAAAATGTCAATACCGTATATTTTACAGTAAAGATCTGGTAACCACAGCTACTGTTTTTTTTAACATAAATTACATTTTTTACCGATTTTTTTGTACTGAGATGGGTTAAACAGCCAATCCTAAACCCTCTGAGGTGATGAAGTGAGAGGAAGCAATGAGAAAAGAAAGGAAAGAGCTGTTTACAGTAAAGATCTGGTAACCACAGCTACTGTTTTTTTTAACATAAATTACATTTTTTTACCGATTTTTTTGTACTGAGATGGGTTAAACAGCCAATCCTAAACCCTCTGAGGTGATGAAGTGAGAGGAAGCAATGAGAAAAGAAAGGAAAGAGCTGAGCACTTGAGAAGAGCTGGAGTGATGGCTTGTGATGTTTGTGATAGATTAGCATATCAAACACAGTCAAGCGTGACTCTGACTTTGACAGTATTTAGATGGATTTTCGAAGAACTAATTCTAATTTAGTTAAACCACGAGCAATTAACATTCAAATCAACAAAACTGTGTTGATACAGAGAAATTAAGCATTAATCGAATTGAAAAATTGTCTCTTCAGATCGATGCGGATGCTTTGAATGCAAATGCATGTTGTTTTAATTTCTTTACTCATGTTTTTCCCACTTCTTCATGCTGTCTGCACTCGCCCTCGAAAATAGAAATGAAAGTGTGAACAAGTGCTTTGGTGAAATTAGGGCAGGATTTGAGAGACTGAGTGATTTTCTCAAATGAACGATGTTGGGTTTAGTTTAAAAGAAGCAAATGCTTTCTGAATGAAGGGCATGTTTAAAAACCACGAGATCCATCTAATAACACATTAATCCATGTTAATGCTCTCATGAATGATTGATAACTAATTAAAATCCAACGTGATTTCATTAGAATTTGTTTTTATATGAAGTGTAATATCAAGTTCAGTAAATGCATTACAGCCTTGGGCGTCGGAGCGAGGGGGAATTCAAATACCTCGACTTCCTGTTTGAATAGGAAATGCATTAATACAGGAAATCATTTTCATAATAACTACAGTTAAGTAGGGATGTAACGATATTATCAATTTTGTGATATCACGATAGCAAAACTGTCTCGATATTATTATAGTCACATGACGATATGAAACGATAGGTCTTCCGGGCAAAATGTTGTTACATCCCTACAGTTAAGGCAGGACACTACAGGCAAAACCATTGTTTTTTCACGCACTGGTCAACTTTGAGATTCTCAGAATGATCATCAAAACTTAACACTTTTATTCATATCTATAAACTGAAGGTTCCTGTAGAGGGGTTTGCGGTAACACTTTTGAATAGAGAACAATTTTCCCTATTAACTAGTAGCTTATTAGCATGCCTATTATTAACATATTGGCTGTTTATTAGTACTTATAAAGCACATATTCTGCATGATCATATTCTACATCCCTAATCCTACTAATACCTAAACTTAACAAATACCTTACTAACTTAATAAACAGCAAATTATGAGTGAATTGAGGCAAAAGTCATAGTTAATGGTTTGTTAACAGCAAGAATTGGACCTTAAAATAAAGTGTGACCGGGTTTGCTAATATATCATTCACCTGCAATGTATTAGGTAACACTTTATTTTAAAGACCAATTCTCCCTATTAACTAGTTGCTTATTAACAAGCATATAGCATATTGGCTGTTTATTAGTACTTATAAAGCACATATTCTGCATGATCATATTCTACATCCCTAATCCTACTAATACCTAAACTTAACAAATACCTTACTAACTTAATAAACAGCAAATTATGAGTGAATTGAGGCAAAAGTCATAGTTAATGGTTTGTTAACAGCAAGAATTGGACCTTAAAATAAAGTGTGACCGGGTTTGCTAATATATCATTCACCTGCAATGTATTAGGTAACACTTTATTTTAAAGACCAATTCTCACTATTAACTAGTTGCTTATTAACAAGCATATAGCATATTGGCTGTTTATTAGCACTTATTAATGCATTATTCTGCATGACTATATTTTAGATCCCTTAATTCGACTCCATACCTAAACTTAGCAACTACGTTACTGTTAATAAGCAGCAAATTAGGAGTTTATTAAGGTAAAAGTCATAGATATTAGTGAGAATTTGTCCCCAAACTAAAGTATGACCAAATATTCACATTTTATTCCTAAAAATGTGGCAAAATTTAGTTGTTTTCTAGATTTTTACAGTATTTTCTGATTTATGAAGTGATAAAAAGATAAATTTAAAATTTGTAAAATCATTTAACTCTGTCAATAAAATCAAATAAGAATTTTGAACCTGGCTTTATCTATTTCTGTTGTGTGCATTTAAGTGAGTATTTAATTACAAAATGCCTCATTTTCGAATTTAAACATAACATTGTAAAACTTGTCATGCAAAACAGCTGTACTGTGATTAATCATCGGGTGATATCTATTACAATTTTTACCCTGTTTACCCTTGGTTTCTTACCTTAAATCTAAGAATTGCATGAGTTCACTTCTCGGTTTTTCTTTTGATTTGTGCATCAAAAGAAATTGATTCGTGTGCTAGAAATACATAGATCCCTAAATACTGATGAGATTACATAAACACATGCACACACAGAGAAACTCAATAGAAACTCAGTACTGTTGTGTGTCAAGTCAAGTCAAGTTTATTTGTACAGCGCTTTTCACGATACAAATCATTGCAAAGCAACTTTACAGCAAATTAAGTTTCTACAATATTTAGTGGTAGCTTATCAGTGGTGACTGTCAGTTAATGTACATATGGCAGAAATGTACGGAAAAATCTATTTAAGACGTAATAAAACAGACGATGAACACTATTAACAGCAATTATTATATGATGCAATCAAACTTATAGCAAAATGTGGTAGTTCTGTATGTTGTTTCAGGGTTGGCATAATCTGAGGTCCTCTGAGGGGTTGGCATCATCTCTTCTCAGGTGTTCTGGATCCAGACTGAAGCTTGTGTAAATCCTAGTAAAAAAACAGAGAAACAAATAGAGACATAATTAGCGTAGCTGCTGTTCCAACCAAGCAAAATGTATTTGTTTAACCCAAACTAAAGAATAATAATGTGCATTTGATCAGAAATAACTGCAGTACAAGATTATGAGATGCATTATTTGAATGCTTGGCCAAAGAGGTGTGTCTTTAATCTAGATTTAAACAGAGAGAGTGTGTCTGAACCCCCGAACGTTATCAGGAAGGCTATTCCAGAGTTTGGGAGCCAAATGCGAAAAAGCTCTACCTCCTTTAGTGGATTTGCTATCCTAGGTACTACCAAAAGTTCAGAGACAAGTCATCAGGGCAGTTATTTGAGATTTTACTTACTAGTCATATGAAGCGTGTGTGTATTTGTCCTCTAAGTTTAAGATCTTAATATTGATTTATTGTGTTTATTCCAAACATTTTATCAGCCGCTGGGACAAAAGCTGTTTGGTGAAAGACCTCAGAGCTGAAGTATTTATTAATAACGATCGTGTCTTTATCTCAAAGATGTGTACGTGCGCCACTGTTATTGTTTTCTTCCTCTGTTGCGCACGCCGGCTGTAATGCGTTCAGAATTACACGTCTTCTCTCATAATATCCTGTATTGCTTCACACATGAAATAACCCACAGGGTGTGTGTTTTTGTATGGATGAATGTTGGTGTGTGTGTGTATGTGGGTGTGTTGTCGTCCCAGCTGGATACATCATTGAAACACTGTAAATGTGTGTTTTTTTATTGATTGATGTTTCATTAGTTTGAATCACTCATGTTTGATTGTTAGAACCAGCTGATGAATTATGTATATGTGTTCAGTTCATGCTTCATATTTTTGTGTGTTTGCCAGAATTTTACAATATTTTTTTATATCTGTGATTCGGCTGTAATCAGCATGAATTGTGATTATAATTTAGCCTTAAAGAGATAGTTCACCCAAAAATGAAGATTCTGTCATCATTTACTCAGCCTCAGGTTGTTCCAAACCTGTATGAATTTCTTTCTTCTGTTGAACACAAAAGAAGATATTTTGAAGAATGTTGGTAACCAAACAGTTGACGGTAGCCATTGACTTCCATGGTATGAAAAAATACTATGTAATACAATGGCTACCATCAAGTGTTTGCTTACCCAGATTCTTCTAAATATCTTATTTTGTGTTCAATAGAGGAAAGAAGAACTTCCCTTTTCAGGTTACAATAAAAAAAACAAGATGTTAACAATGAGTAACTCACATTTTGCGTTCAATTTATCTGCTTTAGCTCCTGATCGGTTTATTTCAAATCTGTTCCAGCGATGTGTATTACTGATTTTATGCTAATGATGCTCTCCTTAGTGAAATATGATAGGCAATCTGTTTAAGTAAATGATATTTTCCTCATTAAATCTCCAAACATTTTACATGGAAACTCATGGAAAGTTTGTTTTCCAGCCAATCTATCATTTCAGTTTTCATTGATCATTTGATGACTGATAACCTGATTTTCATCTCTTTCTCTTTTTCTGCTTTCTTGATAAGGAGGTTGAGGTAAGTTAAACAGTTTAACATTTTTGTATACAAAGATTTTTCACTTGTTTAGTAACATCCACAATCCTCTCTTCTTTCTCTGTGTGTATGTGTACACCGTTCAAAAGTTTGGGGTCAGTAAGATTCAACAAGATTGCGTTCAACTTTGTTGAAGTTGTGACCTAATGGTTAGAGAGTCGGACTCATAACCCAAAGGTTGTGGGTTCGAGTCTCGTACCGGCAGGGATTGTAGGTGGTGGGAGTGAATGTACAGCGCTCTCTCCCACCTTCAATACCACGACTGAGGTGCCCTTGAGCAAGGCACCGAACCCCCAACTGCTCCCCGGGCGCCGCAGCATAAATGGCTGCCCACTGCTCCGGGGGTGTGTTCACGGTGTGTGTGTGTTCACTGCTGTGTGTGTGCACTTTGGATGGGATAAATGCAGAGCACTAATTCTGAGTATGGGTCACCATACTTGGCCACATGTCACTTCACTCAACTGATCAAAAGTGACAGTTTTAATGTTACAAAAGATTTCTATTTGAAATAAATGTTGTTCTTTTGAACATTCTATTCATCAAAGAATCATAAAAAATAAAATATATTTCAGTTTCTACAAAATTATGAAGCAACACAACTGTTTTTTTAATGTTGATAATAATCAGAAATGTTTATTGAGCAGCAAATCAGCATATTAGAATGATTTCTGAAGAATCATGTGACACTGTAGACTGGAGTGATGATGCTGAAAATTCAGCTTTGATCACAGGAATAAATTACATTTTAAAACATATTCAAATAGAAAACAGTTATTTAAAATTGTAATAATATTTAAAAATTTTTACAGTATTTTTAATCAGATAAATGCAGCCTTGGTGGGCAGAAGAAACTTCTTTCAAAAACATAAAAAACTACGTACCCCAAAATTTTAAATGGCATTATATACTGTATATATATATATGTGTGTGTGTATATATATATATATATATATATATATATATATATATTAGGGAGGTCAACAATTAATAATTAATAATTGTCGATAAGAGATGCAATCGATTAAAGCTATCGATGGTCGATTAAGCAGTTTAATTTTGGGCTGCGTGCGGCTCATGCGCAAAACGCGTGCGAGCGACTGTGAGTGACGGTGACGGTATATAAATGCATCATCATTCATTCATAATGTACAAATTAAGCTTTTAATGTGATTTAAACTTTAAAAGTACATTAAAATAGAAACAACGCAAAGTTCTTCAACATGGAAAGCAATAGAAATGTAGTAACTAAGTCATTTCCCCAGATAATTTTTTCATATCGGGCTCTGCGCTTTGCAGGGCTGCGGGACACAGGACAGATAGGATATTCATTCCTACAACTTGTTAATTCGTTCCTACGACTTATTCATTTGTGGCCACTGTCCATGTTTCATTAATTTTGTTCCTTAAATATCCCATGATTTAACTAAAATTAGGGAACAAATTAATACATCGAACGAATTCTTAACTCATGGCCATGACATTTTTAATTTCCCTTAGATGCGAAAACAGTGATAAAAAGTGAATGACAATAAAATAAACCTGCGAAATTAGGGGGTTAGACGGTGAGGATTTAGGAAAATAAACAATGCCTAAATATGATTGAATTTGTGGAAATTCGTGACCAACCGGCAAACCAGAAGAAAACTGCGTGAATGTAGGCTATATGGGCTCTAACGGCATCCAAAAGCATGGTCGCGATGTAACATTTTACAGCTAACCAATTATTCCTCTAATAAACAAAGCTTTTCTACCACACTTGTCATAATCAGAGCTTATAATTTGTAAATAAATAATTACTGGATTCAAAACAACAATTAAAAGGCGCTGTGACCGACACTGACTATACATTTTCCCGGAGCATTCACTAAACGGTAATGCCACAACTAAAAGCATCGTTCACAAGTTTCTGCATGGACCTAACTAGCCTAGGGCACAGGTTTTCAAGCCATGGGACAAAATGGGATGCTTTAAGGAAAATAGCCTATGTAAGTAATAGGCCTAAAATAAAAATAACAATTTGTTTTCATTAAAAAAAGAAGCGAAATATATCTGACTTAAATAATTAAGCTAACAGATTTAAAACAGAAGTGTGGTGCGGCGCTCCATAAACAAGTTCACAGAAAGGAAAGGATGACAACGCGCATTCTGTTTGTTTGCTTTATTTTACAAAAGCACAAATCTTCTGTTTTTATTGTGAGTGTGCAAAAATAAAAGTAAACACTTTTGCGGATTATACCTTACTTCAAAAATTGAGTTTTTTTTCAGCTGTTCGATCGCGCCAGCACCTCATGCACACACACCCCACATATTCTAGCAATTAAAACTTACATCGCAGTCTGTTCATTATCAAAATAAAATACAGTCAACCAA